GCTGCTCTGGAGAAAGACTGTGCAGTTGTTTCAAGGAATGCAATGCAACGAAATGAACAAAAATCAAAAAAACAAAAAGTGCAAGGCATGTCAAGGTGTTGTCAGGCGTATTGCCGGGCTTTTTTGTGGCATTGGCATAGTAAAGGCTTCTTTCTAGCAACTCGACCATGCAGCTAATTTTTGTTCAAGTTTTGTTGCATTGTGCTCCTTGAAACAACCGCACAGTCTTTTTCCAGAGCAGCCCATATTTCTCCTGAGGTTACCTGTGGAGTTTTCTTTGTATCCCAGTCTATTCTTCTGACAGTTGTAGCTGCAATCTTTCTCGGTCTATCTGACCTTGGCTTTGTATCAAGAGATCCCTGAATTTTCCTCTTCTTATTAAGTGATTGAACAGTACTGACGGGCATATTCAAGGTTTTGGATATGTTTTTTTAATATCCTTTTTCCATTTTTATAAAGTTCCATTACCTTGTTACACAGGTCTTTTGACAGTTTTTTTTTTCTGCTTCCCTGTCGGCAAGTATCGTGCATTGTTGTATTGTGTTCCTTATGTGACTTATAGTGGGACTGTGATAGTGCGGTGGGCAATTTGACACTGCGTGGGAAATAAATAACACTGACATCTCCAGTGACACTAATAGTTATCAGTGATAATACTGTATACTGTCACTGTACTAATGAAACTGGCTGGGAAGGGCTTAGCATTTATGGGCAATCAAATGGTTAGCTGTGTACCTACCCATATGGAAAAAAAATATATTTGAAATATATTTTAAAAATATTCTTCCCAAATATATTGCCATTAATTTGAAATACTACAGTTTTGGCCATATTCAACATGGTAAAAAAAAATCTGAGGAATATATTTTAAAAAATACATATTTTAAAAAATATATTTTTAAAAAATATATTCTTCAGATTTTTTTTAACATATAAAAAAGTAATTTTAACATATTATTACGTATTTTTTAAATAAAAAATAAAAATAAAAATGCATTTAAACATGCAATATATATATATAAATATAATTTATTTATATATAACACCGTATAATATAATATATATATACATATTTTTACATATATTTGTAAATGCATTCCAAAAATGTAGATTTGTATTTTTAAAGAGATACAATATATTTGAAATGTATTTTTAAAAATATTTTTCATATATTTGGTAATAAAAACACATTTAAACATGCAATATATATATATATATATATATATATATATACAGTTGCAAGAAAAAGTATGTGAACCCCTTGGGATTACGTGGAGTTTTGCATGAATTGGGCATAAAATGTGCTCTGAACGTCATCTAAATCACAACAATAGAAGAACACAGTCTGCTGAACATAATACTACAAAAACATTAGATGTTGCCATGGTTTAATTGCACATAACATGTAAACATTCACAGTGCAGGGAGGAAAAAGTATGTGAGGCCCTAGATTAATGACTTCTCCCAGAGCTAATTGGAGCCAGGAGTGAGCCAACCTTGACTCCAATCAGTGTGATGATATTGGATGTGTTGCTGACAGCTGTCCTGCCCTTAAAAAACACACACCTGTTTTGGGTTTACTGGTTTCAAGAAGCACTGTCTGATGTGAACCATGCCTCGCAGAAAAGAGCTCTCAAAAGACCTACGATCAAGAATTGTTGACTTGCATGAAGCCGGAAAGGGTTACAAAAGTATCTCCAAAAGCCTTGATGTTCATGTGTCCCCGGTAAGACAGACTGTCTACAAATGGAGAAAGTTTAGCACTGTTGCTACTCTCCCTAGGCGTGGTCGTCCTGTAAAAATGACTGCAAGAGCACAGCGCAGAATGCTGCATGAGGTAAAGAAGAATCCCAGAGTGTCAGCTAAAGACCTACAGAAATCTCTGGCACATGCTAACAATTTTGTTGACACATCTACAATAAGGAAAACATTAAACAAGAATGGAGTACATGGGAGGACACCACGGAGGAAGCCATTGCTGTCCAAAAAGAATATTGCAGCACGTTTGAAGTTTGCAAAAGAGCACCTGGATGTTCCACAGCACTACTGGCAAAATATACTGTGGACAGATGAAACCAAGATTGAGTTGTTTGGGAAGAACACACAACACTATGTGTGGAGAAAAAAAGGCACAGCACACCAACATCAAAACCTCATCCCCACTGTAAAACATGGCGGAGGGAGCATCATGGTTTGGGGCTGCTTTGCTGCCTCAGGGCCTGGACGGATTGTTGTCATTGATGGGAAAATGAATTCCAAAGTTTATCAAGACATTTTGCAGGAAAAGGTATGACCATCTGTCCGCCAACTGAAGCTCCGCAGAGGATGGGTGATGCAACAGGACAATGACCCAAAGCATACAAGTAATTCAACAAAACAATGGCTGCAACAGCACAGAATACGCCTTCTGGAGTGACCCAGTCAGAGTCCTGACCTCAACCCGACTGAAATGCTGTGGCATGACCTTAAGAGAGCGATTAACACCAGACATCCAAGAATATTGCTACACTGAAACAGTTTTGTGAAGAGGAGTGGTCCAAAATGACTCCAGATCGTTGTGCAGGTCTGATCTGCAACTACAGGAAACGTTTGGTTGAGGTTATTGCTGCCAAAGGAGGGTCAACCAGTTATTAAGTCCAAAGGTTCACATACTTTTTCCTCCCTGCACTGTGAATGTTTACATGTTATGTGCAATTAAACCATGGCAACATCTAATGTTTGTGTAGTATTATGTTCAGCAGACTGTGTTCTTCTATTGTTGTGACTTAGATGACGTTCAGAGCACATTTTATGCCCAATTCATGCAAAACTCCACGTAATGCCAAGGGGTTCACATACTTTTTCTTGCAACTGTAAATATATTTTGAAATATATTGAATATGGCCAAAATTGTAGCATTTCAAATATATGGCAATATATTTGGGAACAGTATTTTTAAAATATATTTTCAAATATTTTTTTCTTCCATGTGGGCATATTTGTGGGTTCCTCGTTGGAAGCTGGAAATCATTTTAGTAGACACCGCTACGCCAGTGATCTTTACTAGCTTCCTGGCCCCATGTTGAGTGGCTGCATTGTGAACACAGAAAATCGCTTACTCAGTGAACTCTTTGCATTTCTTCAATGAATGCAAAGGATTCTCTGATTGAACAAGGTGGGGAGAAAGTGCGGTGACTTCACAATCTCCATCTTATCCATTCAGAGAACACTTTGAATTCATTGTGAAAACACAAAGTGTTCTTTGAATGGCGCATGTGCAGAGCAGGTGACCTCATGTGTTCGGTAAGCTGCAAGGCACCCTCACGGCACAGGACCTAGAAGCCACCAGCAGTCCCTGTAGTTGTGGTGTTTAGTGATTTCCAACTTTCAGGAGGAATTTACAGGTATGGCACATACATGTTGTATGTAGCGCTCCTTTTATTAGGCTGCTAAGCTACATTTTGGCTTCACTGCAGTCAGTGGAGCAATGATCGAATGTTTTTGTCTGGTCAGGGTTTCCAGGCTGGGTGTTTGAGTTCTCCAACCTGCTTCTGAAAGAAGCTGCCAGAATATAGGAAAGGGAGACTCAAATAACTGGCATGAATATTTATCGTACCCCAGTCAGCCCCTGGAAGGAGGGGCCCAGAAGGTGGCTGGGGAGGTGATAAATGTTTGGGAGACCTTGCCGGAGTGTTCTTTCCTCTCCAGGGAGGGTTTTCATTCTTGAGGGCTGCTGCCCCTAGAAGGGAGTTTGTGAGAACAGAAACTGCTTTCTGGGTTTCAGCAAGAACTGGTCTGAGGACCTAAGTGACTATTTGCTGGAGGGCATCATCCTGGAGTCCTGGACTTGAGGAGGTTCTTTTACAGCCCTCACTGAGGATCTACTTGTGGATGCTTGGGTGGCAGACCACTTCTGGGGCACTTTGAGTAAATACGTTGCTGTGGACTCTTGGGTGTGCTTGTACTAGAAGAGAACTAAGCGCCAGAAGATGCTATATAGACTCGGATTGCTCTTAGAGTCCTAGATATACCAACCATCCTCTGTTACCTCCAGGTGTCAGGGCTCTGTCCTTGGCAGAGGTGTTAGGAGACCTGGCACCCCTGCTAGTACCTTGCATGGCCGCAGAAGTTCACATCGGATCAAATTTGGTGCCAAACGGCCTTTATAAGGAAGCCCTGCCCTACTCTCAGGTGCTGGTTGATCTCTGGCTTCCCAGTACCTTGTTCCTGTTCCTGTGCTATTGTGATCTGTGATTTCCTGATACCAACTCTTGGACCTGTCTTCTCTGCTTAACCCCTGATCTGACCTCGACTTGGCTAACGGATAGTCTCTCTTGCTCCTCTGTGTATGACCTCGGCTATCCCATCTGACTATACTATAGCCGGTCTTCCCGGACCCTGCATTCACTATATCCGGTCTCCCCGGACCCTGCATTCACTATATCCACTCTCCCCGGACCCTGCATTCACTATATCTGGTCTCCCTGGACCCTGCATTCACTATATCCGGTCTCCCCGGACCCTGCATTCACTATATCCGGTCTCCCCGGACCCTGCATTCACTATATCCACTCTCCCCGGACCCTGCATTCACTATATCCGCTCTCTCCGGACCCTGCATTCACTATATCCGCTCTCCCCGGACCCTGCATTAACTATATCCGCTCTCCCCGGACCCTGCATTCACTATATCTGCTCTCCCCGGACCCTGCATTCATTATATCTGGTCTCCCAGGACCCTGCATTCACTAAATCTGGTCTCCCCGGACCCTGCATTCACTATATCCGCTCTCCTCGGACCCTGCATTCCCTATATCTGGTCTTCCAGGACCCTGCATTCATTATATCTGGTCTCTCAGGACCCTGCATTCCCTATATCCGCTCTCCCTGGACCCTGCATTCACTATATCTGCTCTCCCCGGACCCTGCATTCACTATATCTGTTCTCCCTGGACCCTGCAATCACTATATCTTCTCTCTCCGGGCCCTGCATTCACTATATCCGGTCTCCCCGGACCCTGCATTCACTATATTCGGTCTCCCCAGACCCTACATTCACTATATCCGGTCTCCACGGACCCTGCATTCACTATATCCGGTCTCTCCGGACCCTGCATTCACTATATCCGCTCTCCCAGGACCCTGCATTCACTATATTCGCTCTCCCCGGACCGTGCATTCACTATATCCGCTCTCCCCGGACCCTGCGTTCACTATATCCGGTCTCCTCGGACCCTGCGTTCACTATATCCGCTCTCCCCGGACCCTGCATTCACTATAGCCGCTCTCCCCGGATCCTGCATTCATTATATCCGGTCTCCCCGGACCCCGCATTCACTTTATTTGGTCTCCCCGGACCCTGCATTCCCTATATCTGGTCTTCCCGGACCTTGCATTCACTATATCCGCTCTCCCCGGACCCCGCATTCACTATATCTGCTCTTCCCGGTCCTTGCATTCACTATATCCACTCTCCCCTGACCCTGCATTCACTATATCTGGTCTTCCCGGACCCTGCATTCACTATATCCGGTCTCTCCGGACCCTGCATTTACTATATCCGCTCTCCCCAGACCCTGCATTCACTATATCCGCTCTCCCCGGACCCCGCATTCACTATATCTGCTCTTCCCAGACCTTGCATTCACTATATCCGCTCTCCCCGGACCCTGCATTCACTATATCCGCTCTCCCCTGACCCTGCATTCACTATATCTGCAAGCCCCTGACCCTGCATTCACTATATCTGCAAGCCCCGGACCCTGCATTCGCTATATCTGGTCTCCCCGGACCCTGCGTTCACTATATCTGGTCTCCCCGGACCCTGCATTCACTATATCCGCTCTCCCCGGACCCTGCGTTCACTATATCTGCCCCCCTTAGACCCTGCATTCACTATATCCGGTCTCCCCGCACCCTGCATTCACTATATCTGCTCTCCCCGGACCCTGCATTCACTATATCCGCTCTCCCCGGACCCTGCATTCACTATATCTGCTCTCCCCGGACCCTGCATTCACTATATCTGGTCTCCCCGGACCCTGCATTCACTATATCCGCTCTCCCCAGACCCTACATTCGCTATATCCGCTCTCCCAGGGTCCGGGGTTTAGTAACACTTTAAATGGTGTATCTTATCTTTGTAACAGCAAGAGACCTTGTTCTTTAGAAAAACAACAGACTTACTGGCCAGATCATCGGATTAAAATAGAAAAAAGAAAGCCTTATTATTTCAGGTACTTATATATCGCCATCAATTTACGCAGCACTTTACATATATATTGTACATTCACATCAGTCCCTAACCCTCAAGGGGCGTACAATCTAAGGTCCCTAACTCACATTCATACATACACATACTAGGGCCAATTTAGACAGGAGCCAATTATCCTACCAGCATGTCTTTGGAGTGTGGGAGGAAGCTGGAGTACCCAGAAGAAACCTACACAGGCACAACATGCAAACTCCAAGCAGGTGGTGCCATTGTTGGGATTTGAACCAACGACCCTAGTACTGCCAGGCGGAAGTGCTAACCATTTAGCCACTGTGCTGCCTTATGCTGGCTGTACACTGACTGTAATTCGGACAGTCCCTGTTGATCGGTGGATGGGCTCCCCTGCTCAACAGAAGTTAATTGTTTTGTTAATTAATTAGGCCATTGATGTAAAATGTTTTCCTTTTATAGTCTGTAATTTTGTATATACAAAATATATACAACATAATATAAAATAATATTATTAATATTATTCAGCATTTATATTATTATTATTATTATTATTATTCAGCATTTATATTATTATTATTATTATTATTCAGGATTTATATTATTATTATTATTATTATACAGGATTTATTATTATACAGGATTTATATTATTATTATACAGGATTTATTATTATTATTATTATTATTATTATTATTATACAGGATTTATTATTATTATTATTATACAGGATTTATATATTATTATTATTATTATACAGGATTTATATTATTATTATTATACAGGATTTATATATTATTATTATATAGGATTTATTATTATTATACAGGATTTATATATTATTATTATTATTATACAGGATTTATATATTATTATTATACAGGATTTATATTATTATTATTATTATACAGGATTTATATCGCGCCAACAGTTTGCTCAGCACTTTACAGTGTAACGGGAGACAATACAGCAACAATACAGTTCAATACAAGAGGGATAGGAGGGCCCTGATCCTGGGAGCTTACAATCTAGGTCTAAGTAACAGCCAGGCTCTGCTGCCAGCAGCCAGGCTGCGCAATGTCTGTGCAATGCCTAATGATGTGAAATGTCCACAATGCATCAGAGACCATGTGATCTTTGCCCAGGCTTTAGGTTACATCAGATTCAAGCAGCATTTTATAATTTATAGCAAGAGTTACTATTTTACAATGAATAATGTCCCTGGTAACGCGGACATGTGGCCTTTATCGATTCCTGTACATTTTGGCAACAGGTCCTCTTTAAGTACAGGTGTTTGCAATGCAAAACATATCCTGTTCCTGCTTTTAATCTATTCAAACAAGCAGATTCTCGCCACAGAAGTGAAATATTTGTCTTGCTGTCATTGCCGCGATGTTCCCAGAATCTGCTCTCGTAATATGAAGAACATGAAAAAAAAGTGAGATGCCGCTAACGAAGTTCCTGATCAAAGGTGTCAAAACGACACCCCGACACATCGCATCTACTGAGCGCTGGCTGTCCCTGGGTGACCCGCTGAGCCGCCTGTGAGCGGATGAGTCCGGGGGTGGCAGATGGAAGGTGACAAACATTAGCATTGAAATGTAGACTGCCCCCCCCCAAAGCTGGATTGTCAAACTCAAATAAAACATGCGGGGAGGGGCAGGTATATAAGATAAATCTTTAAGGGGTTTCATCAGATCTACTGAGGGCTGCACCAACCTAATTCAATAAACTGCTAATGCACTTGCATAGGACTTTATTTATACATGTGTAAACTTAATACAACCTAAATAAGTACATAAGTTGCATAAATACCGGGTTCACTCACATCTCAGCCCCACCCTACGCGTTTCGTCATCTGACACCCTCCAGTATCACATTGTGGGACTGTTTGAATCATTTAGATGTGCACAGACTTTTCCTTTTTTTTACACAGGTATTGCACTTACATTGTTTTGTATGGTGGTACACATTTAATAAGTTGTTTTTTTTTAATTATATTTGAGATATTTTTACTTAGACGTATTGGGTTTACACATACTATATAATTTTTTACATACACTATATTGCCAAAAGTATTGGCCCCTCCAAATCATGTGATTCAGGTGTTCCAATCCCCTCCATGGACACAGGTGTATACAATCAAGCCCCTAGGCATGCAGACTGCTTCTACAAACAATGGTGAAAGAATGGGTCGCTCTCAGGAGCTCAGTGGCTCCAAGCGTGGTCCCGTGATAGGTTGTCACCTGGGCAATAAGTCCATCCGTGACATTTCCTGGCTACTAAATATTCCACGCTCAACTGTTAGTGGGATTATAACAAAGTGGAAGCAACTGGGAACAACAGCAACTCATTCACCAAGTGGTAGGCCACGTCACATGACAGAGCCGGATCAGTTCATGCTGAAGCGCACAGTGCGCAGAAGTCGCCAACTGTCTGCAGAGTCAATAGCTAAAGACCTCCAAACTTGGTGTGGCCTTCAGATTAGCACAACAACAGTGCATAGAGAGATTCATGGAATGGGTTTCCATGGCCGAGCGGCTGCATCCAAGCCTTACATCACCAAGTGCAATGCAAAGTGTTGGTGTAAAGCTCGCCACCACTGGACTCTAGAGCAGTAGAGATGTGTTCTCTGGAGTGACCAATCACGCTTCTCTGTCTGGTAATCCGGTGCACGTGTCTGGGTTTGGCAGTTGCCAGGAGAACGGTACTTGCCTGACTGCATTGTGCCAAGTGTAAAGTTTGGTGGAGGGGGGATTATGGAATGGGGTTGTTTTTCAGGGGCTGGGCTTGGCCCCCTAGTTCCAGTAAAGAGAACTCTTAAGGAGTCAGCATACCAAGACATTTTGGACAATTTCATGCTCCCAACTTTGTGGGAAGAGTTTGGGGATAGCCCCTTCCTGTTCCAACATGACTGCCCACCAGTGCACAAAGCAAGGTCCATAAAGACATGGAGGAGCCAGTTTGGGGTGGAGGAACTTGACTGTCCTGCACAGAGAACTGACCTCAACCCCATAGAACACCTTTGGGATGAATTAGAGTGGAGACTGCGAGCCAGGCCTCCTCCCCCGACATCAGTGCCTGACCTGACAAATGTGCTTCTGGAAGAATGGTCCAACCTTCCCATAGACACCCTCCTAAACCTTGTGGACGGCCTTCCCAGAAGAGTTGAAGCTGTTATAGGTGCAAAGGCCGGGGCCAACTCAATATTGAACCCTACGGACCAAGACTAGGAGGACATTAAAGTTCATGTACGTGGAAAGGCAGGAGGCCCAATACTTTTGGCAACATGGTGTATGAAAGGATGGGAGGAGCCTAGTGCAGATGGGGCATGGGAGCCAAACACCCCACAAACCTGCAGACATAGTCAGCTACTGCAAGGCTCTATATAGAGCAGAAGACCCAGGGAGATAATGTAACACCCAGAAGAACCAAGTGATGGAGAGCGGACACTGCTCAAAACCAACCCCAGGAGTGAGGCGTGTTAGGTATATGGAGTGGCCTCAGCACCACGCTAGTCAAGCCCTCTGACGCGTTTCGCCCTGATAGGCAGGTAGAACCGTGCCAGAGGGTGTGACTAGGGCGGTACTGAGGCCACTCCATATATCTAACATGCTTCACTTACAGTTGAACATGAACAAAAAATTCCAGTATCTATACCGCCATTTGTAGACGCTATAACTTTCACGTAAACCAATTAATTTACATGTATTGGGATTTTTTTTTACTTGACCAAGTGACTTGTTGTCACTGACATCTCCAGTGACACCAATACAGTGATCAGTGCTAAAAAACAGCACTGACACTGTACTAATGGCACTGGGCAGGACGGGGTTAATATGAGGGACGATGAAAGAATTAAGTATGTGTAGGGAGTGTTTTACTAGGGGGCGGTGTCTGTGTGCTTCACTGTAAGCACACTGCTCTGGATGGCTGTGCTGTGCACAGCTATCCAGAGAAGTGTGTCTGAGCCGACAGGGAGGAGGACTGTTAGTAAACAAAACAATCCTCTTCCCCGTTGGTGATTGTCGGTAATCACTGGGCGGCAGCGGGTAATCATCGGCCAGGACCCGGTGATTGACATCCGCGGCCGCGAATGGCGGCACGGGTAGGGGGCGCATATATATCCATATATACATGAATTTGCGCACCCGTGCCATCGTGTAGCAGTATATCTGCTATACTGCGGCGGGTAAGTGGTTAATAAGCTGTATGTTTGAAACATTTTGCAAGGTTAACGCCCTCTCCCTGCCTCTGTACTCCTCTCAAGCCCCGATACAAGCAGTGGGAGGAGTTATGCAAATATCAAAATGCTTTGATGGGTGGGTGTCAATTTTCCTAGGCAGACTATAGACCACCCTAGGTAACGCCCACATGTGATGCTGAGCCCCCATGATTGAAAGAGCCGAAATCCAATGAATGAAAGGGGAGGGGCCAGGGAGTAAAGTACTAGATGATGCTGAACGTTCTCCAGCCAGGAAATGAGGCGGAGCTCTGCTGGACTTCTAATGCACATGGCGAGAAGCTCACAGTGTGCAGTGACATCAGACCGTTTCGGTCCAGGAGAGGAGCCGCTACTACTGGGCAAGACTGAAGGGGAGGCTTGAGGTCCTCTTTAATGGTCTTGGAGTTTTATTGTCCCCTGTTCCCAGTGAGGTCTTCCTGTAGGGGGCGCACACTTTGGGATGAGTATTGGGTCGTTCTGCCAACGTTCACACACACACACAGAATGTATTTCTAGATACGTTGACAGATGTCTGAGGTTCTCAGGACCGGCCGCGTCCTCCTATCTGCCGCTGGATTATGGAGCTCTCTATCTGTCCAGCCTGAGGGCAGTTGGGACGCGATCCATCAATTCCTGAGGAACACATGGGACCAGGGACCAGGGAAGGTTCTCGTTTGGGTTGCTCTGTGAGTGCCGGGCTACATCTGATCCTTT